AGATGTCAAAGGGTTGCATAGTTGCCAAGGTAGTTAAATTACTATCACAGTGATGACGGTAGCTCACAGAATTCTGCTTCGTCATCTATACTTTACGCCTTACACTTTCTACACTTTCTTTCTTCTTGTTTCCTTCTCTCCTTCTTGTCACAGACACGGAGTGGAAGCAATACAAGAAAATCATATTTCAAAAGAACCGTTTACTCCAGTCAATCGCTCTTTTCAGCCCTCTCTCATCGAGAGCTGGTCTGTGTCCATTGACTTCGCACGCCTACATACATCCTGACCATGTCTCCGGCCGTGTTGTAGGGAAACTCGCATAAGTTCTACTCGAAAATATACTATTTTGTTGGCTGAGAGGAATATTCTGTTTCTCGAGAACTATTTTCTGATGATTGAGAAGGATTTACGTTCGGGAATGAAGGAGGCCATGCTTTATCTGTGGGGTGTCCAGCTTGATATGAAAAGGATCCATTTTGAATTGAACAATGTCCACGGTCATTTGAAAAAAAATCCGAGTCGAATTGAAAATTGTCCACGATTTTTTGAAAAACAGCAACTTTGATTTGAACGATGTCCATTTTCAAGTGGAAATGGTATATGTACATAAGACAGTAAAAAATCTGTAGGTGTAGTCATTAGCTCTGCTAATTGTTCAGTAAATGCATTTGCCGTGGTTCAATTTTGGCACCATATTTGTGCCCCAACCTGTATAGATTTATTCCGAAAATTAGAAGATTGAGGAGTCGAGTGCTCCCTGGTGACTTGAGATAGACCTAGATTTGAGTTTCCTCTGTTTGCTGCGCTGATCAGCTTTCCGGCTTAGCTATTTTCGTTACCCTTGATGACAAATGCCTGATTAATTGTTTAACGCGAAAGCTTTGAGTGTAAGATAGCGAAATCCTTCACATTTCAAGGCTAGACCAATTGCTCAACAAGGCCTTTTCGTCTCAGTCGTAAAGCTTTGAAGGGAAACCTGTGTGTGAATCATGCGGACGAGTTGACGACGTTGGTTCAACAGATGGCATAGGTGAGCGCTGTCATCAGTGTGAAACTCGTTGTGGCTAGCTACCGAACATGGATCGTAATCAACGCGCTGACATCGTCGTCGGCTAATCAGTGCTCTCAGTTCTAGCTTCGATTACGTTCTCCGATCACCGCCGCCCCGTTCAATCGTGTCCCGCCGTAGGGGGGAAGAGAGACCGGTTGAATGGAGACTGCGTCCTATATCCCATCGTAGACGTCTTTCCGACCATATCTCGCGTTCGCCATCTTACGCACTTTTACGTAGTATGCCGGTCACATCGACCTTAATCGTGTCACTTCTTGCGAATTTCTCGTCTTCACTTTCACTGCTCTTGTGATCTTGAGACCTTTGCTTTCCCACCCTCCAGAAAAAGCTCCTCTAGATATCACGCTTCCACCTGTAAGCATTTTGTATCCAAAATTAGGATGATCACTTGTAATTGAAAAATATTTTGAGAAATAAGCGAAGGCACGCGACAAAATGTAGCTCGAGGCATAAGATTCAGGAAAACTACCCACCAAGATTCTGAATTTATTCATAACTCTCTGCAAAGGGCCGCAATAATTATTCTATGAACGAAAACTCATCATTTTCAATGAGTTCTGAGCTTATACTGTAGGTTTCGGTAATAGTTTTCAGTATCTAGCTCTATTGATCGCCTCGAACGAACCACCTATGTACAAGACCGAGTTCACCACTTTCAAATAGTTCGGGGCACTGCGGCAGTTGCTTGGCCCACAATTCCTTGACTCTGTATATTTATTGGGTTGGTGCATAATATCGTAGCGCTTGCATTTTTCATTTTTGCACGCAAACGTTTTGTGAAGAAATTAAAAACATAAAACTAATCAGGGATGTCCACTTTGCCATTATTTACGACTTTTATCCTATTTTGCAGAAAGTCACTGGATTTGGAATTGAAAAAAAGATGTTGGGCTCGCTCTCGAAGTCCTCATTATTTCGCAATTTGTACGACATGAATACGGTCTTAATTTGAGTGAAATATGTAGGGTTGGTTAGAGAGAGGTTCGATAAGAACAATGGATTCTGAAGAACTTTTGTTTTGACGGTATTTTTTTCTTTATGTGAACTGAAAAATAACAGCTGTCGAAATGCCGATTTCTGCCGTCTGGATTTTCCAACTTCTAAGCATTATGTATGAGTACAAATATATATTTTGAGGGAAATGACGAAGTAATTTTTGTAGAGCGAAAAAAGCACTTTCAAAAGGTATAGGCGATTTTTAGGGTTTCTCTTGTACTGATTGAATTTACACGCCCAAAAAAAAAACGCTACGATATTATGCACCAACCCAATACATTATTATACTTGGGCCTTCGCCTTTCTTCTTCTCTTTAGCGCTAATCATCTGCCGTAGCTCAGACTGTAGTGAGGTCCTTCTTCATAAGGCCCCTCCACCTTTTCTTGTATGCAGCTAGTGATCCCTTTTCCTGAAGTGAGAGCGACGCTAGCAAAGCCTCTAGGGCTGGACTTAGGAGGGGCGGCAGGAACACATGAGAGAAACATCTAACAAATTGCGCACTTGGAGAGATCCTTCGTCCCTCGCCGAGCTTCAGTCCTACTCTAAAGTAAAATGCGATTGTATGCGCTGTCCGAAATTGGATTGACCATCGCAATGCCCCACTACGGGCGATAGCGCCTCCCAGCAGCGCCATTTTCTATATGTTTGGCGTAGATATCTATAATCTTCGTATATATCACTTCTATGACCTTATCGTGATAATTCCTGGGTTCAGAAAAGCACCAGAACTGAGTTTAAGGAGGAATTCTGTTGCGCGACACAGTCAAGCGTCGAGAAACCAGTTTTGTCTTGGAAAGAAAGAGATGGAATCCTGGGGAACAGCGATCAGATTGGCAATAATCCTGCGCTTACAATCGATGTCAGAGCTGTCACATCCGAGTATTCCTGGGGAGAATGCTTCAGAATTTGTGAACAAAAAATTTTCCAATCTGTTTAAGCGACTCAGCTATCCTCAAATACGTCACTTTCTATAATAAAAAAATGTTCGCACTTCCATAAATGGTTCCAATCAATCATTTTTCACCCATTTCGAAATACACCCTGAAGCCAAAACTTCAGTTCTGGTTTCAGAGAATGACACCCCGGTTTCCAGGAGCTTTTTTCACTTTGCTTTTCTTAGAATTTTCGTTTCGTCATTTCGCATTGATCACGTCACTTTCGCATTTTGCGCGACCGGTCACTCCAATGTTCACTAGTGGACACTAGCGATCCACGCGAAGCCATTAATCAAAGGTGGCGGGCATTCGTCGCCTAATCTCATGCAATGGGTTATACTGAACCAGAACCTTGTCAACATTAACCCCAGTTACAAAATTAGGGAATTTTTGCCGGTGCACTGTCCAACCAGGGCCGCAATACTATGAAAAATATGGCAATACTCTATACAAGTGGGGTGGGCACGCCCAGCTTTTCACGCATGTCAAGTGACTGCCCTCACCCCCACCCCTAGATTGGCTACACTCCCCCTGGCTCACGAATTCCCCGATTCTCGTGACAGTATAGTAGCGGGCAGCAGTCCCACTTACATACATTTCTGTTCAAAAAATGCGGCGTGCCCACCCTACTTGTATAGCACCAAAAATAATGATAATATTAATAATATGAAAAAGTTCATCCAAATGTTGCCAAAGTGCTACTGTTTCAGATGATCAGCACGGCAATAGTGCCGTTTTTGGCCGTGCTATTCGTTCAGCGGCCTCAACGCCCAAGTTGAATCCGAATCACGTCTCTATCAACGAGGAACATAAACACATTGAAGCTGATTCTAGCTGGCTGGACAAACGTCAACAAGAAGTTCAGAGGGCAAGTGGTTTTATCAGTCTGTAAATTTTCAGAAGAAAAAACAAAAGACTTATGAGTTGACCTCATGCAAATTCGCTCACACTCCCTTTTTTCACTAGATGAGCAGGAACTTAGCTTAAATCGTCATACAATGCTAATTTGGGACACGCCATGCATTCAATTTTTCTTCATATTTGTAGCGTCCCAAATGCATTTGTAGCGACCCAAAATTTGGTCTATGGTATAAACTGAGAGACATATCCACAGAGGTCACAGTTAAATGAGCCATGATCCCAGCTGATTTATTCAGAGGCAGTACAATGGATGGATGTGAGGAGTACACATACTCATAGAAAGTTTCAAGGGGTTTCCCTTAGGCTAGTTTCAAGAGTTTTCCCCTGGGCACTTACAAGGGAGGTCTTTCAGGGCAAGTGCGCTTTTTCAAAACGGTTTGTGCATATTGTAGGGACGCATGTAGGGAACACAAAACCATGTTTCATTTTCGCTGAACGGTTTTAGCAGTACCAAAAAAGTGGTGAAGGATACTGTTGATGGTTCGATCCCCGTGGCGACTAAATTTTGCATTTGGGTTGGCGCCTACGGTTTGGTGCCAAATCGCGCTAAATGTCAAAATCAGATGTCATATTCATCGTCAGGACCATTTTGAAGCCAACAAGTGGCCGCCAACTTAACTGAAATTTAGTCGCCGCGGGCTGATGCATCAAGGGTATCATCCACAACTTTTCTGGCACTGTGAAAACCGGTCAGCGAAAACGAAATATGGTTTTGTGATCCGTACATGCGTCCCTACAATATGCAAAAAACCGTTTTCGAAAAGCGCGGCTTGCCCTAAAAGACCCCCTTGTTAAGGAACTTGACTTCTCCTGTCGAGTTAGTCACACGAGTTAAACGATCCTGAAGTCTTATTAGCTTGGGTGTGAACTGGCTTACGCGTATGGATTTACATCTTGTTTATTCGCGCTATTGCTGGTTAGGCCTTTTACTGCTTGCTATCGAGAAAATAAGTGATGTTCTCGATTTTGGGTAATCTACCTGGAGGATCAAAACTGGCACGCACCCTTATTCTGCTCATATCCACTTATTATTGTAACTCATCACAAAGGCCCATTTTCCAAAGGGCGGTATCGGGCCGAGGACGGAACCTCCTGGAGAAATACGATCAAACCTTTCCTTACGTGCTCCTACTACCAAAATACTTATGAGGTTTTAAGGACAAAACTTGTAATGAATAACATACCACTATTTTCAGAACTTCGAGGTGGTTACTTTGGAGGTTCTGTAACTTGGAAACTTAACAAATTGCGTGTAGGAAGTTTCCGCATATGTGAAATTACTGCTAAATACCTATAGCAGTCTATGTTCCCTTCGAATTTCAATGCTTTGCACAGAGGTAACCCAGAGTAGGAAGGATGAACTAACCAGCACCAGCACTTCTCTCTAAGATGAGCTATGCAGCCGCAGAAAAAGATGTAATATTTGTCTCGTTTTCGCTGTTCATCTGGTTTCAAGTGCGAAATTTGTCGATGCTGGTGAGACTAACCTGATATGGTCGGCGCTAGAGAATCTGGGCTTTTACTCTACAATCGGCGTGATAGATTATGCCTTTCATTGTAAAGAACCTGTACCTGTGAAATCGTAATTTACCAATTTCAACAGTGGGTCAGCCAAAACAGTAGGGTTGGAATGAACGAGGTATTCACGTATGATTAGTACCTATCATCATTCTTCTTAGATTGCTCTGGATGCGTCCAACAAAGAAAAGTGATCCTGGATCTGCTGAATACCCAGCAGCGATTCTCAGCTTCTGCGTCTGGCAATGTCGCAGCAGCCGAGACCTACGATGGAAAGAGAGCCCAGGTGCAGAAAATCGGCGATAAAGGCGGTATCGCGACCGTGGATGGCCATAAGTAAGCTTTTGAATGATTCTTATTTTTGTTCCTTCAAATCATTCATCACTCCGAGAACTGACCCGTTACCTTTGATATCTGCTACATTTAGAGCTCAGTTGAGAACAAAAGAGGACGACAGTGGACGGCATGCTTTCCTGAAAGCTGACGGGAAATATGACCTCGACACGGTCGCTTCTGGTGATCTCAAAGATCCTGCTGTGGGTTCTTTCGTTTTTCCATGACATCATGACATCCGTCGATTTCGTTCGATTTGCAGAAAACCTCGTTTGCGGCGACAAATGACCGGTTCGATTTCAAACTGAACCCGAAAAGCCACGACAACAACACCGGTACCGGAACCCTCGGATTCAACGACAAGGTGGGCATGGATACCTAGAACTTTGGGTCAAACTATCAACCCTAAGGTTCTTTTTTAACCTAAGATCGCCCTCTACGATCTGTTATGTATGCGGTTTTAGTCTTGAAGGCTTAAGGGCTTATTTCTATTGAGCATTCTGTTCTAACTCTATAGGGCTACCTCTCATTGTTGTCTATTCAAATGTAACTCACCTTCTTGCCTAAATTTTGAACAAAGTAACGCACCAATCCGATCTCAGCGCCATGCCTTTGAAGTCAACTGAAAATGTACCACATTCTTTTCAAATTTTCAGGAAAAAGGCAAGAGCGGCAACTATGCGTACACCATTTACCCAAACAGGAAGAAAAACCGATGCGACACTGTCAGCTCATGACATCGGAAGCGAAGGTTTTGCTGAGAGCCTCTTCGGAAGGCGTAGCGAGAAGTATCACTGCACTGGTGAGTTCCGTTTGCAATGATAGGCAATTATGGAGATACTACGGTGAGTTCATAGCTGGTGCGGACCCTCTGCGTGATTGTAAGAACTAGGGAAGGGGTTCTGAATGTAGGGGTTCTCGTGATGAGAGGCACACCCACCACTTCCCTTTCTTCAGGAATAGTGATCCCCATTCTGCAAATACACGAAAGTGTGATTGCTTACTTGCATATCTGCAAACCTGAGGACCGACATCTTCGACTGACCCCATCGATTTCTTCGGACGAAATTTTTTTCATTCAGTCCCGATTATTTTTCCAAACCAAGCAATCAGAAATATTCCAGTAGAGGAAGGACTCAGTTATAGCAGCACAGAGGCACATTCACAATTAGCTCTGTTGCCGCAGAGTTGCACCGATTTTGCGACTCAAATCTAAGCATGTGATAAAAGCGTCTGAAGCTTACGCGGTAGACTGAGAGCACACCTAACCATAAGGCCCATCAACATGAACGCAACTAGTTTGTGTGTTCGAGTTACATATGTGACTCCATGAACCACATAGTAACCACGTCCGTAAAGGTTAAGACGCAGAGAGCTCCTGAAAGATTGCCGTTAATAAGGCTCGAACGATAGGTGACGGGAAATGAAGGAATCTGCATGTATAAGGTAAAGGTAGCGTCAATCAAGCCGCTTACCATAGACAAAAGCTGGAATGTGCGCTCTCATAGTAGCCATGAAATGCCATTCAGATGTAGACGATAATGAAGCAGTGGCGTGCTTCAGAGGACCGATTTCACGTTCCGTAGAGTTTCGTGTGTGTCGTCTTGTCTGTATCTCTGTGCTAAAAATCGCTTCGTTTTGGGTTACAAGTAAATGGAAGACCAGTGCCTGGCACTTGCTGCTTTTTCGCAGTAGACTTCTACACTACTAATGTTCTACTGCAAAAAGAAAGACTTATTTAGGCCGTTTTGGGCGGTTCTCTTCCCATTGTCTTTCCTAGCGGGCAAACCTGCTGTTGTTTCACATTTATCCGGAATTTCATAATTGACAATCTTCTAGC